CAGTTAAACGAAACGGAACTCAGAGTGTTGAGCCACGAAGCCAATTTTAACACTGCCGATGCCACCCCAGCCGACTTCATTGCTGCACTTGAGGCCATGTTAGTACGAACTAGCGCAAGCGAAGAGGCTAAACACACGGTGCGCCAAAAGGTTACCTCTCTCCTGATGACGAACAGGCACGCTAGCAATATGTCACCCACAGAAATAGAAGCAATGAAGAGATTAAAAATGGACAAAGATATTATAGTGCTACCGGCCAACAAAGGAAGAGCAACAGTTGTGATGAACCGCGTTGATTACAACGAGAAGGCACAAGCTCTTCTGGACGACCAACAATCCTACAGGTCCGCACCTGCCTCGCAGGCCAAATCGATGATTGGCCAGCTGACTGGACTCTTAAGCCGACTCCGGCGCAACAATATAATCTCGCCAGACGAATGGCGTCAGACAAAACCAACCGACACGGCGTTGGCCAGATTCTACGGACTACCAAAAATCCACAAACCCAACGTTCCTCTGCGGCCAATCGTGGCCCTGAAAGGCAGCCCCACATACAATTTAGCCAAATGGATGTCCCGAAAGCTCAATTTTCTCCGAGAGGGCTCTGTGACGTCCGTCAATTCGGCCTCCAAATTCCTTGCCGACATTCGGGGAAAAACTATTCAACCCGACCAAATCGTGGTATCCGTCGACGTTGTCTCACTTTTCACGTCCATCCCACCAGACTTGGCGCGCGACGTGCTACGCAAACGCCTCGAAGAAAAGTACAACGAAACGACAGGGCCGCTAAAGATCCAGCACCTAATGCAGCTCTTTGCATTCTGCCAACGAACCTTTTTCACCTTCGATGGCAGAACATACGAACAAATTAAAGGAACACCCATGGGTTCCCCAATATCCAGCCTAGTTGCGGAATTGGTCCTATAAGAGCTGAAAAAGGTTGCTTTCAGTCATTACAAACCTGCGTTTTGGCGCCGATACGCCGACGATACATTCGTCATTATTGAAAAGGACAAGCTATCGGGTATCCAAGACTTACTTAACAGCACATTCCACGACATTCAGTTTGCAAGAGAAGACGAGGAGGACGAGAAACTACCCTTCCTGGACGTGCTCGTCACGCGCACACCTGATGGTGAACTCAGCACTGCAGTGTACAGAAAGGCGACCAATACAACCCAGGTCCTCAACTATCATAGCAACCACCCATTGGTGCACAAACGGGGCTATGTGAGGGCGCTCTTCGACTGGGTAAAAACGCACTGTAGCGAGCCCGAAGGAAGGATGCAAGAACTACGGCATCTCCGGGACCAATTAACAAAGAACGGCTACCCAAATAGCTATATCAGTCGCTGCATACGCGCACACCCACGCCGGACAAACGGAAGAGAGACACCAACAATTCCGCACTCCCTACCGTACATAAAGAATGTGTCCGAGGCTACAGAACGCATCGCGTCAGAGCTAGGCGTGGGTATCGCTCATCATCCGACGGCCACCATGCGTAGCAGGATCATGAAAATGAAGGATCGGCTGGACGCAGGTCAGCAGTCGGGCGTAGTCTATCGAATCCCGTGCCAAAACTGTCCTTGCCACTACACAGGCCAGACAGGACGACGTCTGAGCTCACGAATACTTGAGCACAAACGGGCCGTTCGGAGAGGCGACCCACTGTCTCAAGTAGTCACTCACACGCTCGAGGAAGGGCATGAGCTCGATGTCGCCAACACGCGGATATCGGCGCGAGCCGGCAACAAGACAGGGCGAGAGCTGTTGGAGGCGTGGGTGTCGGACACCAACTCCATCAACAGACACATCGATTTGCCTGCGTGTTATCACGCGCTCCGCCCACGCAGCCAGGTGGCGCAGCTCCCACCGTCGCGAAGTACAAACGGCGTCAGCACGCCGGGGGAACATCGTGGACCAGGCGGCACAAACCCTACCTAGCCAGGGACGTACTCCCCCTTCCCCCCCCCCGCAAGAATGAACGATATAAATGTTCACAATTTGCTGCACTCGAGTAGCCTCTGATGATGAACTCTAGTTCGAGTTCGAAAGCTCAGGCAAATAAATCTACTGTCCCAGTGATCGTGCCTTCGCCTTCTTTTAAACAAAATGATATATTTGCGGTCACACCTGTTAGTTCTATTTTAATTTATTAGTCATCCATCGGTCTGGCAGCACGTCGCCTAATGAAATCTTTTGTTCCTACAATGTCGACATCGGTGAAATCAGGCAAAATCCCGTTTCTCTTGTTGAACCCCATCTAATTCACCTTAATCTAGTCCTGAATACCACGAATCCCTTGAAACCTGTTTTAGGATCTATACTCAATATAGGCTGTTGACAAATCATCACATATTAAATTACACTAATTTTCAAACGATATTTAGATGTAAATTTCACTGAAACAGTATTATTAAACGTTATTTTATTTGTAATTTTATAGTTACTGCGTTTGTGGCTTAAGGAAACATTCTATAAATCTAAAAACAAAGTTTACTAAATTACGGCCAATAATGACTTTTTCGGGATATTGCGTTTTTTTACAAAAATCGCCACTTCTAAACAACGCAGCAGGGCTTTTAGAACTTCCTTAATGTTTTAATTCTTTTAAGCTTTCACATAATTAACATAGATATCGGATTCATGAAATGGTATCGGTTTGCGAGTGATTGGCAATCATTCGTTAATTTCGACAACTTCCATGATTTAGGCCACCTACTGTATTGCATAAACCGAACCGCGTAAAAAGACACTGTATCGAGCCCGAATAAAGGAGGCAAGAACTGCGGCATCTCAGGGACCAATTGGCAAATAACGGCTATTGAAATAGTTTCATCAGCCGCTGCATGAGTACGCACCCATGATGGACAAACGGAACAGAGATACCAAGAATTTGGCACTTCCTACCGCGCATAAAGAATGTGTCCGAGGTCACTGAACGCATTGCGTCAAAGTTAGGCGTGGGCATCGCCCATCATCCGGCGGCTACCATGCGTAGCAGAATCATGAAAATGAAGGATCGGCTAGACACAGGTGAGCAATCGGACGTGGTCTATTTATTCCCGCGCCATAACTGTCTTTGCCATTACACAGGTCAAAGAGGGTGACGTCTCAGCTCACTAATACTCGAGCAATAAAGGGCAGTGCGGAGAGGCGACTCACTATCTCAAGTCTCCACTCACACGCTGGATGAATACCATGAGTCCGACTTCGTCAACACGTGTACATTGGCGCGGGCCGTCAATAAGACGGGGGGAACTGTTGTAGGCGTGGGTGTCGGACACCAACTCCATCAATAGACACATTGACTTGCCCGCGTGTTATTTCGCGCTACCTCCACGCATCCAAGTGGCGCAGCTCACATCGTCGCGAAGGGCAAACTCCGTCATCACGCCGGGGGGCCATTGTGGGTCAGGCAGCACGAACCAGACCCAGCCACGGACGTAACTCCCCCTCACGGCACCGCGATATAAATATTCATACTTTGCTGAACTCAAACAGTCTCTGCTGATGAGCTCCTGTTCGAGTTCGAAAGCTAAGACCAATAAAGCTGTCGTTCCAGTGATCGTGCCCTCGTCTTCTTTTAAACGAGAACCTCTTCCATTCGTGACACCAAACTGTGTTTTATTTTGAAGTTCGGTCATGTATTTAAGGCATTATAACTTTCGTGGATGCTTGGTGGACGATTCGTGCGCTACGGCGATTTTAGTTCGTATTTCGTGACATTTCATGAGTTAGGTCATGAACTGTACTTAAACACGTATAGTAGTTAGTTATACATATTAAACCCAGTGGGGTTAAATAACCTACCATAACGGAAAATTTTATTTCCACCGAAATCTGATGCAGTGACTACTAATTTATACACCAAATCCGAATGTCTCTGCAATCATTAAAAACAGGGGCGTTTGGTCCACGAGTAAGAAATTTGACAACCTTTTTAACATAGCAACACAAAATTACAAACAATGTCTCTGATTCCAAAGGGGAGGAGAATGGAAGCCAGCAAACGATACGATATCCAAAGTTTACACTTTTATTAAGCCCTCCTTCCAGCACCTTGTCAAAAGTGTTATCTTCGTCGGGGTTGTGGTCGGCAGCCAACTTTCCATTGCTTGTTGTCCTCGTTGAAAACCCTGCTCTGACAGGCTTACTCGCCGTCCGTGAGGTCGGACTCAGACACGTTGACCTTTCAGCCTGACCGACTGCAACACCCCCGGAAACGCACATCCAGGCAGTCGGAACCGTTACTGCTTTGTGTACCTCAAACACCTCTTGGGCGCTATAACCTTGAACCTTTTTCCGCAGACCCGTGAAGACAGCCAACAGCACAGACACAAACAGATACGCTATTCGGTATGCCCTGACAATAGAACCGTCGCACGCTACGGCGCCTATCATGTGCCGCACGAAGGGGTAGGTGTAGGACAGTTATCGGCCTGTGAATTCCCTCATAGTGATAGCAGACTGGTGCAGCATCTGCCATAATCTTTCTTCCCTCCACCACCTGGCTCGGTTTACAAGACGGCGTCAAGATGATCTGAAGCGGACGCGGACTCAGTAGCTGGTAAAGCCGAACAGTCAGTCTACGTGTGCCACACACGATCTGGTCTTGTATATAGGGGGTAGTTTGGATCCCGCCTAAGTAGGAGTGCCATGGAGACCAACACCAGATGGAGCTATTGCGCCAGTCTTTCAGTCCTCCAGTCAATTACATCACATGCACGAAAGGTACTGACCACGAAGACCGAGTTACCCAGTCAATTTACAGCCTTCCAAGTCACTAACTTTAGCGAGTCGGGATATGTTTAGGCCCGACATATTCATTACGGTGAGTAGTGCTGTGATTTGCTGTGGGACGTTCTTGTTGACGTCAACCTCATTTTCCTTCCTATTGAATGCATCAGTCGACTGCCTGAGCCTGTAAGCCTGCTGGTGATGGGTTTGGGCTCAGTGGGTGGCAGAACTACGATAGTCCGTCTGCGAGTGCCACACATGGTAAGACAATCAATTCAGGCACCGAGGTACGACAAAGAACACGCTCCCAACTTGTGTGCACAGTCTGTGCAGGCGGTGGGTGATGTGGGGCAGGTTTGTGTATAGTGTGTGGGCCAGTCTGACGAGGTGTGTTAGTGGATTTTGGAATGCGGCGTTTTACTGTCGATTTTCGTAAATGTAGATAGGGCCAAGTGAGTGAGAGTTCATTGGCAGTATGAGCAAAAGAGGCGGGTGCAATGGGCGTGTTCCTATATGTTTGGTACTGATTCAACAGTTTCTATGCGTTGGCACTATCGATAGGGCGGTTTTTTGGCTACTAAAATAGTGGTGACGATGCTGTTAAAGGCGATGACGCCGGCATTTAATGGCGGAACTAGTGGTGATGGTGGTGGAGGAGCTTTGGGGCACAAGGGTAAATCTGTCATGTTGCCATGGCGGTGACTTCCGCTGTTGTGAGCACGCATGTAGCCAAGAAGACCCACGCGATATCCAATTATCCTAGGGCAATGTTGGCAGGGAGTTGCGTGCGATGTTTGTTCGTTTGGGGGCTCCGTGCATTGATTCGCCAACCTCATTATGATGGATCCACAACTGACTAACTAGGACAATGTGTTATGCGAAGCTGCGGTTGCAATGGGGATTGATTGGGACAAAGTCCTCATTGGAGATGGGAGACACGATGTTGTTGGTGGTTGTGAGGTCGGTGGTGATGGTCATCTCCGTCGACGTCGTGGAGTTTGTGATGGTGGTGTCGGTCAAGACATTTTTGGAAGCGGTAGCTGGGGCTGCCGCGTCGGCAAAGCATTGAGTTCAAAGATATCTGACAACGCCAATCCTTGCGCGAAGTGTTCCCCATCAGTGCGAGCAGGGCGGAAATGATTAAATGTTGAATTTTTTAGTCTGCGACATATGAGACTTATCAGCCATCCTTTTAGCCCTGGCAGCGGTAGGGCGGTCAGTTTCGTAGATTGCTGCTCCAGTATTAACTGCTCTTTTTCAGACCAGCTGATCCAGGACAGGGTCCTCCCGAGTCTTTGGATTCGTATTTAGATCTTTGATGAATTTTTACTGGGCTTCCTTTAGCGTAACCGTTGCCCTTATTCGCGGTCAACACTCGTAGCGACGTCGCCGTAGAATAGCCGCTTGGGTGTGTGCTCGTCTTTGGTCTTCGCAATCCAGCCACTCCAACGCAGTTAAAGTTTCTTTAGAATAGCGTGGATGCTGAGAATTCCCGCCTGTTCCCGCCCTGCCACCTCAGCCTTAGTTGTCTTCGAAAACAGCTGAGGCGGAAGGGATTCAGTTTTCCGGCTTGACTGGCGCAGACAGTCCATGTCATCACCCCCTATGAGTGCGTTGTCAGGAGGACGGCTTTCTGCATCCACAGGAGGTCGGCCGTAAAAGCTTTAAGTAAAAAACTTGTTTAGTCACATTTCTGGCACCGTACGCCTGCATAGAGCACAGGAAAAAACGTAACAATAAGTTCTTTTGTTTCTGTTACGACGAAAGGTTTGCTGACTGTTCGAACAGTCAATGACACACTAAGTGAGAGCTCACTCTAATCATGAAATGCTGAAAATTCAACAGCAAGTTAGGAAGTGACTTATTGATAAACTTATCCATATTAGAATGAAGTATGATAATAATTTTGGAAAAGAGCAGTTCTTAACATGTGAGGCTGCAGAACCAAACAGCCTCAGATTAAGCCGATCTCATTTCAGGCCAAGGCCTGGGGCTGCTAAGAAGATCTTCTTAGTCATACTGTTGTTTTTGATAGTACTAAGTGCTGAGGTGAATGACCTGAAATACAGAATTAAAAAAGTGGCCGACTGAAAACGAGAAGCATGTTAACGGCAGGATTCAGGAATATCATTAGGTTCTTTTCCACAGTTAGTTGCCTCTGGAACTTGCTTCATTTGGCGGATCCGTTTATCTGTCTACCGGTTTTACAATGCACATTTATAAGGAGTGTGGTAGCATTTGATTTATCGGACGTGTATTTACCCGAGCAACGAGCTCCAGTAATGAACTTCAGTCCGAAGCCTTCTGGACTGCACCCAGAGCATCCATGCTACGACAGCTGATCCTGGAGAGGGTTTCGTTTGTCGTTAGTCTGTAAAATTGTTTTTGCCCGTTTTCCCATACTTTTTTGCTGTCGCCAATTTTCTTGTCAGAAACGCAGCGTCATCCACTTAGAGTTAAATTTCTCCTGTATCTATTTTTTTGTAGTTTAATTGTCGTTTACGCTACAGATTTACGTAGTTCGTCCAAAAAGTTATAAAGGGGGGATGCAATTTCGAGTCATTTCGGAAAGTGAAGTACGATAGTTGACTACTGTATCGTAAACTGATGCCTGCGATGATGGCCGACGTTCTAGCTCAGAATCACTTGCGACAGTTTGACCGTCGTTGTCGATGATGTCCACAACGACAAAAGGGTGATTTAAGTCACAAATGAGCGGGAGTGGCATAAAGATCTCATTCTAAATAAATGAATGAATATACAGTATTTTCTTTAGCTTTCAGGCGAAGGTATCGGTGGAACTGCGCTCGCCACAGGCACGGGAAAAGTTTGGCTGAGGCCAGATGAAGGACCTGTTTCAGAAGTAAATTGCAGACGAGGCTTTACGCTTGATAATGGAGGGAATACTCTGTGTTCCATTTGAGTTTTATTGCGGCTAATAAAAAGTTTACTGCCCCTAAGATACTGAACTGGGCGCTCCATATGGGAGAAAATAAACTCTACTTCTATTGACGAGAATAATTTGACAAGAATGGGGGAATTTTTGTTCATACATGAATGTATTTTAACTCCGACGACATTAAAGTTGAAGCAATAATAGTAAAAGAAATGGAAGGCGACATCGAAGCGCTGTCTACTTTTAGGAACATTTTCCACAACAAAGATAAATTTCCTCTTGTGCCTGTCTTCGGTCTCACTAGCAACAAGGTCGATAAGAGGCACAAGCTTCTCACATTGCCGAGAAGTAAGTATTGACTATTTTCCTTCAAGACGGACACCAAGCACAGGAGAAATTGATTCCTAATAAGACATAAAATTGTTAAAGTTTTCGAGTGCTCTAAGGTCTATTTTTTCATACTGACGATAGGCTTTAAATAAGAAGCTTGAGATTAGCTCCCGTCAAACTTCGATGAAGGGTTGCCTGAGGTTTAGTGTTGAAAGAAGCAAAACGAGTTTAATACCGATTCATAGGGACTATAGCCGCCGAAAATTTGAGGATTTAAGGATGAGGCTACGTAGGATAAATAATTTCGAATAACTATCAATATTCATAGACCGAACAACAGCATTGCAATTGCTTAATAACAAAATGTTCCGATAAAAAAGACACACAAATAGCAATCTTATGGGTGACAAAATAAAACTGTGAATAAAATTCGAGTTTGACCCGTATGCTTTGTGCATTAAAGAATCTCGGGCTCATTCTATGATTTCTGACTCGTTGCTCGCTGTGGATACTTTCAGCTTATATCGACAACGCCGCATTAGAGGGCATGGAGATGGCTGTCTTATTTATATCAGAGTTGCTGTTGAACACTTGCTCTATGACATGAACATTTCTTATTTTCTGGAAACTTCTGTTTAGCTTCGGCGATTCTTCTGTAAAATATGAAGGCTCTAATTGGATATTTATATAATCCTCCTAGTTTATCCTACGGTGAAATTTAACTCCTTGAGCTATTTGAAAAAATCAAATAGAGTCTATTTGACTTCAAGATAATCGTAGACGATTTTAATCTACCAGAAACCGATTGGCATACATTTACTTCCTCTCCTGAGTTCCAGAAGCTTCTAAATACCATTCACTTTTCAAACTGGTCTCAACTCGTCCACTCTTCGGCCAGAAACGACAATACATTAGATCAAATTTTTACTAATGCCATCCTCGCTCTATCTATAGATTTCCGTCGTGACCTTTTTTACAAGTGATCATGCATAAACTCAATGTTGTCTTCCAAATTCCACTTGTGCAAAGTCAGCAGGTAAATATAGCTTTTGGGCTATGATAATGTTAATAAAGAATTAGTAAGTTACATTACAAGTGCTCTCGATTGACGCAGAATTTTTTCAAATAATCATCCAGATTTTTGATACGATTTATTGCAGTGCATAACAGAAGGTCTTCTCCATCTTATTCCACTGAAGACGTTCAAATAGAGGGCCGAGGCCCAACAGGCGGCCACAGTGAGAAAACTTCTCTAGGTGGGTCGGGTACAACGGGATGACGGTTTTGAGGGGAAGAACGGGCGGGGTAAACGGCAGAGGGCACTGGATTGACAGCTGGATGCCGAAAAATGTTGGAAATCGCAGAAAAATAATTATTTGTTTTAATGAAGTCAAAAATACCGCAGGATGGCGCGCAAATAGGGAAAACCGTAGGCAATGCCCAATCGAAGGTGGGCTGGCCTGGGACGTGATGTGATTGGCGGCCGGGGCGAGTAAACCTGAACCGCCAAGCGGCTAACCAGTGGGATCGTTGGCGCCACACTTGAAAGTGGTGTGCATCAGATGGACGGGCATCAGACGATGCCCAAGGGGGACGCGAGGGGACAGCGATGTACTTCGGTTGGGTAAGTGTATTTGAATAAAGTGCTTATGACAATTGCGTCACTTCCCAGCCCCTTACTGACCCCCTCCTCACCCCCTCCCTATTTGTTATATCGGTGATCTCCACCGCATGCACCGTTTAATACGCATAACGCGAAAAATGTTTAGGATTCCTGGACGTACTCCAACGCCACCGCACCAACCTACAGCAAGTCGGCAAACGCCCGAACTTGGCGGCCGCTGTGTGTTAGGTCACTGTTTTACGGGATTTGTAAGTATCCATGGTGGGAGCAGTTTGCAGGCCTACGTAACCCGAATGCAGGCGGACGTAGGCGCGGTCCTCAGCGGATTATACCGACGGCTGAGGATGAAATACAAGCCGTCCTTCAGTCAGCTGGTGTCGTTCAGTACCTGCAGCGGTGGAGGTTGCTGGCCACCACCTTAGCATGCCGATGTCGGCGTACTGTGCAGATGCAAGTGTTGCGGCAGCATACGGACGGTTATGCATTCCGTTGTGGACACTGCAGACGGAAGCTGTGCCTGCGGACGGGGTCAATGTTCGTTGGTAGTAAGCTCAGTCTGCAGACACTGATGCGTGTATGCTACAAGTTTGTCGAAAGTGTGCGGCAAGTGTAGGTGTCAGTAGAAATACTGCCATGAAATGGTACGGCATTTGCCGCGGGGCCTGCTCACACGCACTTCTATCCGCCGTAACCCAAATTGGGGGACCAAGCGTGGAAGTACAGATAGACGAGACGCTCATAAGTCGCCGCAAGTATAACAGGGGAAGACTGCGGCGGCAGTTGTGCGTCGTCGGTATGTACGATACACGCAGGCGGAAAGCCCTATTTGAGCAGATTAACAACCGCGCTGGGAGGCCCTAAGGCCCTTCATAAGGAAGTGGGTGGCTGCTGGCAGTGTTATCGTAACCGATGAGTGGAAGGGTTGCACCCGCCTACCGTCGGAAGGTTATACGCACTTCACTCTCAACCGCCGTAGGGGTTCGTGAATGCCACAAGAGGACGGCATACGAACGCCATAGAGGCCTACTGGAGCAGCCTAAAGAGGAAGCTGCAGGAGTCTGGACCTGTCTGTAACAGGGCAGTGTGAGCCCACCTAGATGAGGTTCAGTACCGCCTCTGGTTCGACCTAAGGGCCGACAAAATGGCAGCCTGCTGGGAAACTTTCCTACGACATTGGGCAGAAGCGTATCCAATTGAAGAGGGCCAACCAACGGTGACTGGATAAGCTAACCAACGGAGGCACAAACAGAAGACGTGTAGGTAAGCATCGTTACTTCCACCATTTGATCTCCATGCCTACCGACAGTGAATGTGGCCGTTACCGGCCGGTCAAAGAGGGAGCTGTCGATTGAGGAGAGCCAACCAAGGACGTTTGTAGAAGTTAACCAACGAAGGCGCAGACGGAAGACTAGAAGGTATGACTCTGTACTTTGTCTACTTACTCTCCATGCCTACCTACAGTGCTTGTGGCCGTTACTAGCCGGTCAAAGAGGCAGCTGTCGATAGAGGAGAGCCAACCATCGACGATTGGAGAAGCTAACCAACGAAGGCGCAGACGGAAGACTGGAAGGTATGACTCTGTACTTCGTCCACTTACTCTCCATGCCTACCTACAGTGCTTGTGGCCGTTACTGGCCGGTCAAAGAGGCAGCTGTCGATAGAGGAGAGCCAACCATCGACGATTGGAGAAGCTAACCAACGAAGGCGCAGACGGAAGACTGGAAGGTATGACTCTGTACTTCGTCCACTTACTCTCCATGCCTACCTACAGCGCCTGTGGCCGTTACCTGCTGGCGATGGGAGAACTGGAGATTGAGGAGAGCCAACCAAGGACGTTTGTAGAAGCTAACCAACGAAGGCGCAGATGGAAGACGTAAAAGGAAGACAACATACTTCCTTTATTTACTGTCCATGCCTACCTACAGTGATTGTACCATTGTCTGCTGGCGATGAGGATACCCTCTACCAAAGATGAATGCTCAAGTTGATAGGGGGTACGGCATTGTATTGCAAGCGTGTAATCGCATACCCTTTTGTTGTACACCTAACTGTTGAGTGTTACTAATGTGGCAAGCCGGCTGCCCAAGGCAGTCGGGAACGATTTTCCCTACTGCGCTTTATGTATAGTGTATTGTTCCTTTTCCTAATTCGGAGTAAATGTTGCATTTTTCTGTGGCGTTGTTCTTGCTTACGGTGCTGCTAAGCCTCCGGAATGAGAGAAGGTGTGATACGCAGTTGAGTAAATTTGAACCACAGGGCTGCGTTAGCTGATAGGTGCCTATGGATCACGAATGGAGGAGATGAACGGACGTTGTCTGTGGGATGGGCGGATATCTCTAGCAGTGGTAACGTAGCCATCATCGCACGGTAAGGACTGCGACTGATCGACCACCCTGGAGGCTTGGTACGTGAACATGTTTACCGACGTAGAATAATGCAATGACGTCCACTAAGCCTCGTCGATAAACCCTTATGGGGCAGGTAGGGAGTGATTACGGAAGGCCTTTAGAGCGGGAACAGGGAGGTGCGAAGGGACTGTCTTAGGCCGCAGCCGGCCATGGTAGACGGTAAGTAGGAATCGGTGTAGCTGGTAACTGGCGACGTGAACCACCCGCGGGGAAGGGCATATCAGGTCAACTAGCAAAGCCGGGTGGGAGGGGCAGTAGACTGTGAAACAGGCGGAAGTGGGAACAGCCGGTGAGGGAATTGTCGAATGCGGTAAGCTTGCCTAAAGGGGGAGAGGGACTGCTGGGATTGATGTTGGGACGGCTTAGGTGACAGGCCTTTGGAAGGGGGGAGAGGGAAAGGCGTGGGCTAGGCGGTGAGGGAGCGGTAGGGGTGTATGTAAATACCGCAGTGGTCTAAGAGCCTGAAGCCTTTGGTAGCAGCTGCCCCAAGTGAAAGTCTTATGTTTGGACGGCGTAGGCTGTAAGCCTTTGAGTTGGGGGGGAAGGGGGGTGGGTGTTGCGGAATATGCGGAGGGAGGGCCGGAGGTTCATGTACACGCCCGAAAGTGGATGCCGGGCTGGAAACGTTAGTAAACAGCTGACGTAAGTGGTGGTCTGACTGACGAAAGGGGAATGCTGGCACCTCAGTTAGGTGGACTCCGGAATGCGTGGGAGGGGAGGTAAGTGGACCATGACCTGAAACCGAAAGATGATGACGGGAAACTGCACGTAAACCACGAAACCGGCAACCCCGCAGTTAACAGCGCAACTGCCGCGCATGCGAACTGCCCAGAGGTGGTTTAGGAAAGGAGAAGTTTGTTTGCGTAAGGGCATAAAAGTGGCATTGTGTATTGGACATAAATTTTAGGCAACAAGGGATGGGGACTCCCCGTAAACCCTACAGAGTCTGGTCGGTAGGTGTGTTTGAGGTTTTTTTCTGGCCGTGGAGGCCGCAGGTCTTCCATCACGGCTACCTTACGTACTATTGTTTGTTCAGTAGGTGTGCTTGTGGTATTTTTTTGCCGCCGCGGCAAAAAATACCACAAGCACACCTACTGAACAAACAATAGTACGTAAGGTAGCCGTGATGGAAGACCCGCGGCCGCTTATTTGGCACCCGTCAAATCGAGTTCTATTTCTTCCACTGTCGCACATTTTCGCAAAAGCAGTCTTTAAAAGCCACGGAAGCAGCTTAAAGATCTTTTCGTAAGCTTATTATCGGTTTACTTAGGAGTTGCTGAAATATTTTAACTAGCCTCGAAAATGATGCAACGCGAGATAAGAGTAGAGATTATTTAGATATTAGTGGTGCGAATATTTCTAGATCTGTTGCCCAAGAACTCCGTCAAATATTATAAGCCAAGTTTCATCAAGTCATTCCGCCTTTGCTTGGTTCCAACAACACCTTCATTGCAGAGGAGTTAGGAAAAGCAGAACTATAGAATTCATTATTTGCCAATCATTTTTACCACTGAAACTGACCTCACTGAATTACTTCCTCCGTCGTTTAATGCTTCCTTTACTACCATATTGTAGTGGCAGACAGGGACAAAGTTGGCGGGAAGTCAAAAAGGACGAAACAGCGATTTGTGGTGCTGTGCTTCTGTCGAGCGTTTTCCTTGTTTACCTTACAGATCAAAACGAGGATTCAAACAGATTTGAGAAGATAACTCCAGTGGATATAGTACCTACCCCAGAACCACAGCAGTAAAGTGCACAATAATTCCTTTTGACCGCCGTTATCCCGATCTTTAGTGAGACTATGCGCTCCCCGTTCTCATATATCCTATCTCACTATATAAATCTCTTGTGTCCAGACAGTTCTTCTTCTTCTTCTTCTTCTTCTTCTTCTTCTTCTTCTTCTTCTGAGTTTAGCACTAGCTTGAGTTTCTGATTGAAGAATGAGTGACGCTGCCAGTCTGTGCAGTTCAGGGTTGACGCTCGGTACTGACTACAAGACAACCCTTGGAGGAATAACAGCCGCAAGGATCACTGCAGTAAAGAAGACAGTACAAATGAGTGACACGACTATTACAAAACATTTTGCTCCTGCAAATGTTCAGAAGCTTATAGGCCAGAATACTAACTGGCATTCAGAAGAAACTGACATTAGGAAATCTCTCATAAAAAGACTAAGCGATTTACCTCCTCTGCTTTGCAAAGTCTTTTCAGAATTCCAGAAAATGGCTTCTTTCCGGACCACCGGAAGACTTCTTTTATCATTCCAGGTATTAAATCTCTCGGTCGTTCTGATGTTCAAAACTATTGATGTGTCCATTAAACACCTTCTCTCGCCAAAATCTTTGAAAAAACTATTGCCATGAAAGTTACTGACTTTTGTATGGCCATTCAGGTTATCAGCCCTTCCCAGCATGGTTTTCTACCCGATGACACGTGGTAAACGTGTCGTTTGTCGTCCCTCAAACTGCTAACTTCTCTACGTAGCTATCATTTATCGATAGTTGTCATTTATTTTGATCTTATTAAAACCTTTGATAATTTGCCATATTGAAGATTCTTAGTAAGATTGAAAGCTCTGCGACTTCGCAATCCCCTTACTGACTTTATTAAGCCATACCTATCTGCTCAAAAACAAAAGGTTTTAGTGGGATCTTCATTTCCCAATGAGAACCATTTTGTAAGTGGTGTCCTCAAGGTGACGTTTTAGGTCATCTTTTGTTTCTGCTTTGCATTAATGATATTTCGTCGGCAGCTAGGCATTATCAACCTTTCATTTATGCTAATGCCTCAAATGCGTATATTCATTCACCAAATCTACCACCTAACATTGCCTAGAGCAAACCCATGCCGGCTTGCTTGAAATTATAGAGTAGACCACAAAATTACTAATGGAATCCCTCCATCTAAATGTTGCCATATGCGTCTTGGACCCGATCGACTACCCCAGCCAGTGGTCTTTTAAGGCACGCCTGGGACTTAGGTTTAGGCTACTCCAATAATGTAAATCGATCGCCACATGCCGACAGAATTACGGCCAAAGCTGTCCAGATTTGTGGCTTTATTTTCCACAACTTCTATCTAAGTGAAATTAAATTAAGACTTATCAAATGTTCGTATTTCCCATTCTTAAGTACTGTCGTCCATTCTTTGGTTTGATAAAGGAGGCCAATTGTTTAAAAATTGAAAATAATCAAAGACACTTTACTAGAAAACTCTTAAGCACTGCATATCCTAATATTATCTACCGGGCTAAATACCAGATGACTAACCTAAAATTTCTATGGGTTCGAAAGATAGAAGCAAACTTCTGTCTCCTCATTCGCATTAATGATGTTCAAATCTTCCTCGGATTTCATCCCCTACCCCTGTTAGTCGTCCATACAGTCTTCGCAATTCTTCATAGCTTACGCCTCCCCCCGCTTCCTTCCCCTCTAAGCGCTCTCTTTTTTCGCTTCCAGGTATACTTTCCTCTGGAATAACCTTCTAATCGATATAAGATCATCAGATAATCTACATACTTTTAAGAGAATTCCGCGCCTTTATCCGAATACTGACTTGATTAGACTTCTATTATCTTCCCTCCTCCTTCCCAGACCACCTCCGCTACGACGCTCAGAAAGGGGCGTTGAAAGTTTAGGACGCCGCCACCAGATCACTGTATCTGCTCACATTTCCTCCTCTCTGTGTGGCTTCGCCTTCTATGATCCCTCATCAGAAATTCCGATTTTTTCACTTCTTCTGTCCGTGTATCGCGTCCTTCATAAAATACGATGCCCTCCCTGAAAAATCCCCTCGAGGAAGTAGCGGGGCCAGGTTGACATGCACACTCCAAGCCGCTTTCGTTTCGCTAATCGCCGAACCTCATCATTAATTCACTCTGGTCTCTGAGATTTCGAGATCTCGCCCCCAATCGACGATTTTCGCAGCTCGTGATGTCAACTCCTCACTTCGAACCCAATTGGTCTGTCGACAAACACGGCGGAACCCTATGTTTTTGCCATATGCTAGTAGTTTGGTCGGTCAGCAAAGAGTTCTCAGGGTCGCATCTCCCCTCTGCGCTTTGGTGACCACCTCAGCCTTTAATCTTTCCCCCCTCGGTTGGACTGTAAACGGAATGTGACCGATCGCGTCTGGGTTCCCATTGTCGCGCCACTTTGACGCGGGCAGTCTCAATTGGTTTAGGAATTCTGCCTTAACGATGTCCGTTTTGAATCCCTTATCCAATACCATATGCAGGCCAGTCCTGTCCGACTCACACATTTATCTTTCATGAGCGGCAGTTTGTTCTCCTTAAAAACTAAGCAATTCATACTCATTTCGTTTTTGCCGAAAAAAACTTGTTTTTTACTGTTCGTCAACCCTTTTTCATGAGCATGAACTGAATACTGTACAGAGTCTGTCTACTCTTTCTAAAATTTACTCGACCCGTCAGTCTGACATCAATCTGCTGCAAAGTGATGGAGAAAACC